TTAATTAAATGTTCAAATTCATAAATTAAAGCCAAAACTCTCACATTTTAATCAAATTACAAATTGATCTCCAATTAGTACCATTACATACATATACATATATATACTTGTACATTTCTTAAATAAATAACTTTGTACACAAAATATCTTCAAATTGTACACAAAAAAAAGAAAAAGAAATTCACTCAAATCCACTCCCCAAGGCCAGCTATGCTATGTATATATATAGGTGACGTCCTTTTGGGGACAAATTGCTTGATTTAGGGAAGAAAATTTGACCTAGGGTACATATAAGATTATATATTGATATATATATATATATATATTATACTTGTAACCAATTCAACTTTGATTAAACCTAAGCCTAACTAGAACATGTTTAAAGGTTTAATTAGGGCTCTAATCATCCTACATTCCATTTCATCCTAACTAAATCCAAGACTATTCAATTGAATTAGAACTAAGGACATTTTGAACTTTTCACTATTCTTTTTTCTCTACAAATACACCAATTCTCTCTACCCTTTTGAGCACAAAACACACTCACACACTTACATATTTGGCTGAGAAAGAGAGGGAAAAAGAGAGAGCTTTGGTCGTTGTAACGCCCTGAAGAAATGCCATAAATAAATTCAAGACTATATGTAAATAACAATATAAATCAGAGAGTAATGTTCTTTCATTTCATGAGAGTTAATAGTATAAAAGAGTTTAACTAAATAAAAGCCCTATAGACTTACATCTTTCCAAGACCACACTTGGTTACAACAAAAGCGGATATAAATCCAGTACATATAAAGCCCTTGGCTTGAATCAAAACAACAACATAATACACAAAAGAGAAGCCTTTGATCCAAATTCCTCCAAGCTACTGTCTTGGCGGAGGGATATCATTAGCACCTGAAAATGATTTTCTCAATTAGGGTGAGCCAAAGCCTAGTAGAAACAATCTAACACAATATATGAATCTTAACAAAGATATAAGTATGATATACATATCTAATGCCCATGATAAAATCATTTATAACTTTTCACAAAACCATGCCATATCTAGCTTTATATCTCAATTCATTTTGTCTTAATTCATATGTTCTTCACCATTTCATTCAGACAACCAAACTGAGGTTACAACTCAGTGGGTCCCTAACTAACATAGCTATTATACAAATACTACCATTTTGCTTTTTCACAGATATTTCATCTGCGGAAATCAGCACCCATGTATATGCGCTATTTTAGGACTTTCACCCTGGACACATAGGCCAACTTAATTCAATGAAGTCAATCATCTTTCTTCTCCCAAAGATAGAGTACATCACATTTCTTCTTCCAAACATCATATATTTACAATGTATAAAAGGCATAGTCATATTCAATGACAACGAATGAGAGATTAGTTTTAATTCACCTAATCCTCATGCAATTTCTACAACAATCATAGATATCCTCTACTGATAGCCCAAAACAAATATTTCTAAACAGATATACAATCTCCAAGACAGATAAATTTTTCAATTTTTCATGGGTGAGAGGTAATACATATCAAACTCCACCATTTATATAAACATTCATCCAATTTCATATTTCCAATACCAATTTCATTTATTTATACAAAATAAATATTTGAGACATTTTAGGGAAAAACTCCATTTTCTTCCAAAATCTACCCCGGATATCAAAATCAATAAATTTATCACAACACAACCTCACATCTACTCCTATAACAATGTTTACTACATACATTTTAAAACCCCTCTTTTGATTTTAAACTAAAACCCTAGATTTTTTCAAAATCATTCCAAACTCCAATATTCTTTACACATCAACAAATAACCAAGTTAAAGCTCATAGAAGAATGTAGAAAGTCCCTACATCAAAGCTAGAGATCAAATAGAAAGCGGAGAAACCTCAAACAAACTGAAATCCACTTTTGTTCGGATGAAACGAGAGCCGACAACGTGCTCTACCTTTTTAACAAAGGCACACGGGTAGGGAAACCACTAGATCTAGATGAAAATGTAGAGAGAATGTAGGTTTTAGAGAGATAAGGTCTCAACTTTAGGGTTTTAGAAGAAAAGATATGAAAAAGTGATGTAAAAAGTCATTTTTATGAACTGATATACGCACAATCTGCTCAAGTGTAAGAGGTGACGCTCGAGTGTCAGACACAATAAGTTATTCCGCTCGAGCGCAAGAAATCACGCTCGAGCACAGAATACGTACTCCCAGTAGTTTTGCAGACGACAGGCCAACACTCGAGCGCAAGAAAGACCGCTCGAGCTGAACCTGCTTGAGCGCAGAAAGAATCGCTCAAGCATAGAATATACTCTCCCAGTAGTTTTGCAGACCTACAAAGGTACTGAGAGTTCTCAAAACCCGCTCGAGCGCAAGAAGTGCTGCTCGAGCGGAGGAGTAAAATCCTGGGCAACAAAAGTTTGAAAACCAAGCAACCAACCTATTCCAAACACAACCACTACAATCCAATAGCTAAATTTAAGGAAGTACAAGGAAAGCAAGACATGAACAACAATATGAAATCATAAAACTCGAGTCCAGAATACAAAATGGGTCAAGTCTAGACCCGAATCGCTATAGTGGTAGAAGAGAGAAAAATAGAAGAACCTGAGAGAAAAATAGAAGAACCTTGGTGAAAACTCTTCAACTAGGCAACAAGTAAACCACATCACCATCTCTCATTCTATTCCATTTTCAAATACATGTTATTAGAGATTTAAAATCATATTTTCAAATGTTTTGTAGTGGTGTTCATGTGCTCAAAGTTGATGAATTGGGTTTTGATTCTTCTTCTATTCATATTTCCTCTTAATAGATGCAAAACTACCTTTTTCTTCCCATATCTCACCTTATTTCCAAAGGCATACCATCAATCTAAAAATCTGAGTTATTGATACATTATTTAGTATGCTTTCATCACAAAATAAGTGAAAAGTTTTCCTTAGTTGACCTCTTTTATTACCAACCTTCTTATTTTGAGTATTTTGCTGAAAAACCTATTTTACAGCCAACTTTCGTAAATTCTATAAAAATGTAGAAATATCTCCTAGACCTCAGTTTTATTTCAAAACCTTCCTTAAAGAGTTAGCTTTCAAGGAAAAAGTGGTTTCATTGAAAAAGAGTGAGTGGGTTGTAAGAAAATCCGATTTTCGTAACGGTCGACGAATCTGGATAGTGCTGTAGTGTTTCTTAAATAATTAAAAATCTAGAAAAACTATTCCATTTACGAAATTTTTTCCAAAAAGTAGATAACTTTCTCTACGAACCATAAGAAGGCCAGGCTCTGGAAAAATCTGAAATGGTCCTTTTGATTTTAATCTTTAAATGGTACTGAATCTGAAAATTTAGTTTTGCATTGGTATTTTATGCTTTTGTCTTCATGAATATGCTTATTACTATATGATCATGTCTTGGTATGACATTGCATGTGTTATGATAATATACTTTTTATTTTAGTCCTTCGATGATGCTCATACATATGCAAATTTATTCTCTTGTTATCTGTTTGTGCTAACTAACTTAAAACATTAATGTAAACGGAAAACTTAATGGGGTGGCTAATGGGGTTTCAATCACATGAGTATTGTTATGAGATAAAGTTATGTTCAAATTGAATTAGTTGGCGGGACGTGTTACCTTTTGAAAGTTAAAGTCTTGCGCAAGTGATTGTTCAGAACCCTTGAACGGAGCTGTTGTATTTGGACCCTAGGCGGTTTGGTGTGAGAAGGGAATAGGCAAGGCCCTATTTTATCGTCCCTTTTGAGACCCTACGGTTGGCGCTACACGGTATATAATCGTTGGTAAACATCAGAGATAAGGTTTACAACAAAGCAGCAAAAGAGGGGGGCATACCAAATAATCCGTGTCCAATTCTTCTCGTTGGGAGGATGAAATCTCTTTGGAGGATTTCTGAACTACTAACAGCTAACCTTGTAACCCTTATTATTTTCTTGAATATCATGTTTCCTTTCCTTTTGTTGTAATTGCTATTGTGTATTGGATTGAGAAAAAGGATGGGGTATGTGTGCGTTTACTGGACATTTAAAGCTCTTGGCGTTTCATGCCAGGTATCAAAGGTACATACGAGGCAGACGAAGAACCAGAGACATTTGAAGACTTGTGTCTGTTTTAGAGAAAGGTAGCAGCCATTTTGCTTATGAGTCTATTCGTGCTTTTATTTTTAGATTGTAATAGTAATGAAACTCGTTTTCTAATTTAAGGTTTGAAACACTGTAATTATTATTTGCTCTTGTAATCCTATGCCTACCTCTGCGTTACTTATAAGACCTTGTGTTAATACTTCTTAAGATCTGTCAAAAAGATAACTTACTATTTAAGGTGGTTGGACTTAAAAGGGAGACTGTATTGACTTCTCTGACCTTGTTGGGATCTTACTTGGCTATTGACCAAAGAACTCTTTAGTGACATTGCCCTAACCCTCAGAGTAGAATTTGGGACGTCACAACTACCACCACCACTAGTCATCGCTGCTGGCCACCTCCAATGACTTTTTCAACACTAGCGATCAATAATCTGAAAATAGTGAGTAAGAGTGAAAAAAAGTATCTTTCAAAATAATAATTTTTTCTTTTCACCAAATAATTTCATTACTCATGCCATTACAAAACAAAAATAAAAAATTATAAACCTTACCTAATTAAATAGGCAAAAACCAAAAAACATAGAGAGCTCAGATGCACTATGATTTCATCTGAATTTAGACCCCCTCAAACTTCAACCCCCACCACCCCCACACACACGTGGCGGGTGGTGATTGGAGTAGGAGAAAAAAAAAGAAAAAGAAAAAGTGACCAATCAAAAAAGAAAGGGGGTCGAAAGGGAGTGGGGGAAAGGGGGTCGAAAGGGAGTGGGGGAAAGGGGGTCCTAATCTTTATTCTTTAAGATTATCATGCCATTACAAAACAAAAATAAAAAAAATGAACATCCTTACCTAATTAAAATAGGCAAAAACAAAAAAACATAGAGAGCTCAGATGCGCTGTGATTTCATCTGAATTTAAAGATCGGACGGTTGTGACAGACCCATCCATCACAAAGAGCGCAGAATAGATCTTCACAGCTCACCAGAAGGCGATAGAACCCAGAACCTGTGCCGTGGCAGAATGTTGTTCTACCACTAGACCACTGGTACCACATGTGGTTTGCGTTGCGGAAGCTAATATATATTTGTTTCAAAGTTTTATAGGCTCATTTTTAATAAACCCTACTCAAAACTCATGTGAGATGCTATTTTTGTTTGGTTTTGAGTTTTTTTATTTTTATTTTTCGTATGTTGCTATTTTTAATTAATTTTTTTGTATTTTAATTAAATTTCTTTTATTAATACACTTAAACTAAATGAACTTAAAAAAGTAAAATAGTTGTAAAAAAATCTAAAAAGAATTCAATAAATACAAAAATTAATTGAATTTTATTTTCTTTTATATTTAGTAATTCTCAAGTTTCGTACTTTTAAATGTCTTTAGATTAAATCGATATAAAAAATAAAAAATAATGAAAATGTTGAAAAAAATTACCTAAAAATAAAAAATTACTGATTAAAAACTCAAAAATTACTTTGAAAACTCCAAAACCAAAGTTAAATTTAAAAAATATTTCACAATTGCATGTATTATACTCAACCCTATGAACATGTTTGTTTTATTCCAGAGACTATGTGATTGGATTACTAATCTTGTGGGTAATGGGCGAAGCCAGGAGTTGATGATTGGGGCACAAAAAATAAGACTAGCCTTTGCTTGGGAAGTGGGTTGATTTTTTGATTTTTTTTGCTATTTTAGCTTGGAGCTAAAAAGCCTGGTTTGTGAAGGACTTTTAACTTTTTTGATTTTTTTGTAAGAGAAAGAATATAATAATTATGAGTTGGATGTAATGTTTTATTTTATTAGACTAAAAAGCCTATTTTATTTTTTGTGGCTATTTTAGTCAAAAAAAAAAAAAAAAAAAAAAAAAACCTTCTTCCCAAACATAGGACAAATTCACCTAGTCAAGTCAATATAAGCTTAAACAATTCTTTAAATACCTCTCTTGAAAAAAACAATTATTTAAATCAATAAATCACTGCTAAAAATAAACTAATAAATAACGAGAATACTCTAGATCAAGGTTTTAAAAAGCGGCCGCAACCATTACGTAACGCCGTTACGTAACGGTTGTGGTGGTTGCCGCCACCCGTTACGGCCGCTTTTGCAGTGTGATTGAGATTCACAGGTGTATCAGCTGTAACGGCTGCTATAGCGGTCGTAACGGTGCCGTAATGGCCGTAACGGCCTGTTACGCACTGTTACGTAACTTTTGTTGTAGTGATTACAAAACAAAAATAAAAAATTATAAACCTTACCTAATTAAATAGGCAAAAACCAAAAAACATAGAGAGCTCAGATGCACTATGATTTCATCTGAATTTAAGATTATCGTGCCCTTACAAAACAAAAATAAAAAATATAAGCAACCTTACCTAATTAAATAGGCAAAAACAAAAAAAAACATAGAGAGCTCAGATGTGAGACATTTGGTCATTTGTTTGGTAGAAAATTTGGGACCTCTAGCATTTTCTGGAAGCTAATGTATATTTGTTTCAAAGTTTTATAGGCTCATTTTTAATAAACCCTACGCAAAAGTCATGTGAGATGCTATTTTTGTTTGGTTTTGAGTTTTTTTATTTTTATTTTTCGTATTTTGCTATTTTTAATTAATTTTTTTGTATTTTAATTAAATTTCTTTTATTAATACACTTAAACTAAATCAACTTAAAAAAGTAAAATAGTTGTAAAAAAATCTAAAAAGAATTCAATAAATACAAAAATTAATTGAATTTTATATTCTTTTATATTTAGTAATTCTCAAGTTTTGTACTTTTAAATGTCTTTAGATTAAATTGATATAAAAAATAAAAAATAATGAAAAATGTTGAAAAAAATTACCTAAAAATAAAAAAATACTGATTAAAAACTCAAAAATTACTTTGAAAACTCCAAAACCAAAGTTAAATTTTAAAAATATTTCACAATTGAATGTATTATACTCAACCCTATGAACATGTTCGTTTTATTCCATAGGCTATGTGATTGGATTACTAATCTTGTGGGTAAGGGGCGAAGCCAGGAGTTGATGATTCGGGGCACAAATTCACGTAGTCAAGTCAAGATAAGCTTAAACAATTCTTTAAATACCTCTCTTGAAAAAAACAATTATTTAAATCAATAAATCACTGCTAAAAATAAACTAATAAATAATGAGAATACTATAGATATACTTTTGAAACTTAAATTTCAATGATGCACCATTAGAAAAATGTTAATCATAAGTATATCACATAACTCACATAATACATGAATGGTAATGGATTATTGAACATACTATTTAAAAAGTGTATACTATATGCTCTATGTTACAATGATTCTTAACAAAACGATAATTGTTCATAATTTTTGTCAATATAATAGTTAGAACATTTTAATATTCATAATATAATCATAGGAAAGACAAATAATTAATTATTATTTTTTTTAAAAAAAAAACCTTTGAGGTGCTACGTGTATTTAAACATAACATATGAGTAAAGAAAAATAAATAAATAAATAAATAAAAACCTTAAGATTCTTAAAATCTCACTTTTAAATTTATTCCAAATAATTTGGAACTAATATATCAATTGTGTTTCTTTGTATTATGAAACAATTCCTACATTAGGAGCGATATTTGGGGTAGTAGCAAAATTCATAAGTTAATTCACATGAAAATTTATTATTATTTTGATTATATTAATGATAAACCTCGTGGCATCATTTACAACAGTTAATTCTCATAAATTGAAATAATAAGTAATAAAATAATAAATTTTGCTATTTCTATTGAAATATCATATATCAAAAGTAATAAGGGGATTTTTTTTAAGGTCCCTCATATTAAGATTTTATAACATAAGGGACATTAAATATTTTCATAGTAGTTGGGGTCTCTCAAATTTTTACAGAGAAATTTCGAAGCAAAGAAATCTCAATCCACAAAAATTTAAAAACATGGAGAAATTTGTCTGAAATTTCTTTGATTTGCTCACGAATTTCTCTGTATTTTGACCAATTTTGTCTGTTTGCTTACAATTTTCTCGGTATTTTGTACAAATCAAAGAAAATTACAAACAAAATCGAGCTATCACAAACCAATTTTTCTATAATTTTTACAATAAAACACCATGCTAAGTTCATCAAAGAACTTAAAATAAAAAATCTAATTACAATTTTAAAAAATCAAACACTGCACATTCCAAAAGATCAAAAGTAAAATTTGAAATTAGAAATTCAATGAAAATCAAACAAGCAATATAAATTAGTGGGAGCTTAATGTGGGCAAGGAAAATTCAAATGACAGAAAATTTGAGAGAAAATCAAGCAAGACACAGAAAGAAAGATAGTCCAATATTTTCAGAGAAAATTAATCTAAAGAGGTTATCTTAGTGCTAGAGAAAATTCATCTCAAATGAAAAATTACACACAAGGAGACAACTAATCAATGAAAATCAAACAAGTAACTTAAATTAGTGAGAGTTTAATGTTTTCAGGGGAAATTCAAATGTCAGAGAAAATTCAACCCAAGCAACAACTAACTGGTAAAAATCAAACAAACAACACAAATTAATGGGAATTTAATGTTGTTAGGGACAATTAAAATACCAGAAAAAATTGGAGAGAAAATCAAAGGGACAACTAGTCTTAGAAAATCAAGAAAGGCACATAGAGTAAAGTGAATCCAATGTGTTTAGAGAAAATTGTGATATCAGAGAAAATTCATCTCAAGAGGAAAATTGCACACAAGAAGACAACTAACTAGTGAAAATCAAACAAGCAACATAATTTGATGGGTCAAGAAAAATTCAGATGCCAGAGAAAATTAATCAGAATTTTGGCTCAAACTTATAGAAATTTTGACCCAACTCATAAAAATTTTGGCCCAACTTAGAGAAATTCAAAAAAATTTCGACTCAGAGAAATTTCTTTGATTTTCTCTATGTTTTGGAAATTCTCTGGTTTGAAGAAATTTCTCTGTGTATTATACATAGAAGAGAGAGAAGAAAAAAATGAAATAGTTTCTTGTCAACCTTTTAATTCTTTCTTCTATAAGGGAAGTAATTTAACAAGTGATGCAAAATATCTATATATATATATATATATCATCTGCATAGAAAACAGGGACATGGTCACCAATATATTTGTCATTCAACTCTATATTCATTTTTAAGTACACTAGAGTAAAATACACCCAGACAGCTATGGAAGCTTGATGATGTCGAATTGTAGAAGAAGAGACAGATAGCAGAGATATCATCCATTGCCATACCTAGTTTCTTACATTTCCAAGCACAAACTACGTGTTGGACTAATCTTTTAGCCGGTTCTTCTCGAAACACCACTATAAACATCAATCCTTCTCTCATATATATATATATATATAGAGAGAGAGAGAGAGAGAGGGAGAGAGTGTGTGTGTGTGTGTGAAAGCCCTAATCAAAAATTTGTAGTGTGGATCAAAATTCACAAATATATATAGAGAGAGAGGAATAGAGATTTGGTAAATATATATATATATATATATATAGAGAGAGAGAGAGAGATGGTGTGATATATAAGTGTGGATGAGGGACCTTAGACTATAAAAAAAATATTGTGAACCTCTTTCATTACTAAAGTTGGAAATGGATGTTAGACTAATTTTTCCTATAATAAATGGAGGTAACAAATATGTATAAGAGATAGTAAATGACAAAGTTGCTACACCTCATCTCCAACAAAAAAAAAATTAAATTTAATGATGTCAAATTCATTTAAGTAACAATTTGACATTTTTTTAAGAACATAAACCTCATCTAATTTGTCAAAACTTTATTTTATTATGAGATTTGTCTAATATATATTTTTTCTTTACAATAAAACCGACTTAATAAGATAACCAAAGGCAACTCTGTTTGATTTTTTAATTTTTAAAGTTTAAAATTTGTAATTTTATATTCTGAGTGATTTTTTTTTTTAATTTTAATTAAATTTTTACTTTTTAGATCTACTTAAT